GTCACAGCCTCAGCCTCAGCCTGCCTCAGCCTCAGCCTCAGCCTGCCTCCTCAGCCTCAGCCTCAGCCTGCTTCAGCCTCAGCCTCAGTCTGCCTTCAGCCTCGGCCTCAGCCTCAGCCTGCCTCAGCCTCAGCCTGCATCAGCCTCAGCCTCAGCCTCAGCCTGCCTCAGCATCAGCCTGCTTCAGCCTCAGCCTCAGCCTGCCTCAGCCTCAGCCTCAGTCTGCTTCAGCCTCAGCCTCAGTCTGCCTTCAGCCTCGGCCTCAGCCTCAGCCTGCCTCAGCCTCAGCCTGCCTCGGCCGCAGCATCAGCCTGCCTCAGCATTCAAAATGTGGCCCAGGAATGGAGTTCTGGGAACTACAAGAACACGAGGTGGCCTACAGTTGGCTCCGGGCATTCAAACTGGGAACTTGAAGAGCACGAAGTGGCCTACAGTTGGCTCCGGGCATTCAAAATGTGGGCCGGGAGTGGAGTTCTGGGAAGTCGAAGAGCACGAAGTGGCCTACAGTTGGCTCCGGGCATCCAAAATGTGGCCCGAGAATGGAGTTCTGGGAAGTCGAAGAGCTCGAAGTGGCCTACAGTTGGCTCCGGGCATCCAAAATGTACGCCGGGAATGGAGTTCTGGGAAGTCGAAGAGCACGAAGGGCCTACAGTTGGCTCCGGGCATCCAAAATGTACGCCGGGAATGGAGTTCTAGCAGCGCCAAGAGCGATTTTGCGAGGATGTCCCAAGCGATTTGGGCTTCGACGGCAGCCGCGCCGGGTCCCGCCCCGGGTCCCGCCCCGACCCCCCTGAGGAGTCATGATGCTTTCTTTCGACCCCACTAGAAACCTATCAGTCTTCGCTGTTAGGTAATCACGATGTCGGGGGTCTGGGCGCACGGCGCCGCGTCAGGACGGCCCCAGATGGGCCCAGCCCGCTCCGAAGCTCGCATGGCCTCAAGGCCTCTCCAGAGCGCTCCCGAAACCGAACCCCTCCCACAACAGCACCTGGACGCCCCAAGCGACACCCAGATCGGACGGGGCCAGGACAATGATAAGTCGGTTCCAGAGCGTTCCGGAGGGCTCTCGAGAGCGTTCCGGAACGCTCTGAGAAGGCCGCGGCGTTGAAGGCATCCTCCAGAGCAGCCGGATCTCAGAGATTCTCGATTGATCCTCCTCACCCGATGTTGTCCCCGTCCTGGCCTCATCTTGCCAGATGGCCCCAGAAGGCGCGGGAGGGCCCCGCGTGAGCCCGAGGAGCTCCCGAGAAGGCCCCAAGAAGGTTCCGCGAGCGACCCGGGCAGGAGACCAGCTGCTCGGCCACGCGCGCGCCAGGGAGGAGGAGGAGGAGGAGGAGGAGGAGGAGGAGGAGGAGGAGGAGGAGGAGGAGGACTGGGACCTTCTTGCGCTGGCCGCTTCCTGGGTCCCTGCTTATTGTTTCGCCCTCCGCGCGCCACGCTCCTCTCACCGCTCTCCCTTCGCTCCGCGCCTCTCTCTCTCCTTGCTCCTGGCTCCCCCCCTCGCACTCCTCCTGTCTCCTGGCTCCCGATGCTCCCTCTTGGCTAATTACTGGCACCTCCCTCCTCCCTCCCCGCCTCTCCCTCATCGCTCCTCGCCTCTCCCTGATCGCTCCTCGCATCTCCACGTCCCTCCTCGACCTTGACTCCTCGCTCCTCCTTCCTCGATGTCTGCACGAGCAGCATGATGCGTTAACGAGCAGAAGCACAGAGAAACAGCACCCTGCAGTCTCAAGCGGCAGCTGCGAACAGCAGCAGCATGCAGTCCACAGCAATCAACACCAACGATCGCACAGCGCGTTGGGAAGCAGCAGCATGCAGCAGGCAGCAAAACCCTGCAACCGCAGGCAGCAACAGCAGCGGCGAAGTTCAGGCCCAACGTCCTCATAAACCCCTCCTGCAATACCTACGCCCTGACCCCCTCGTGCCATCTCAGATAGACTTCGCGGCCTGCAAGCCACGCGTGAGCACTAGTGAGCTACAGCGCTGGGATCAGCGCGTGCGAGAAGAGCGGGCAGTGGCAGCAGGCACTCTCTCTGCTCTGCGGCGTGCGGGATGCCAAGCTGGAGCCAGACGTCATCTGCGCTATGACCTCGCCCCCAGCGCGTGAGAGCTTGTCCCCCAGCCCTCCTACGTTGGGCTCTCGGCTTCCGGAGAGCAACGGTCTCATCCCGTTCCGTTGTCTCTCGGCCCCCCTTCCTCCCCTCTGCGTTGCCTCCTCGTCGCCTCTTCGCTGCCTCTCCTCTGCGTCCTCATGCCCCTTCCCTCGCCGTGGGGGTGCCGCCAGGCGCACCGCCGTCACCGCTCCATGAGGCGGTGGGAATTCCAGCGGAGTGCGGTCTGACATGTGCCCAGACGAAGCTTCGATAATATATCAATCGAATGCTGACTGTCTTGAAAGATTCGCAATTCGTATTTAAATATTATCCTCATTATGTTGTTTCTCTAACTGATATATCCAAGCTTTCGAGGAAAGGTGTTGCTCGATGATGTGCACCTCCTTGGGTGGTGCCATCTGCACAGCCGTCGCTGCTTTCGTGAGCTTGCGGGGTGAGGTCCGGCGGGGTGTGGCTTCGCCCAGACCCACACACGACCATGCCACCCTGGGCGGCACCACATGCGCAGCCGTCGCCATTTTTGTGAGCTTGCGGTGCGTGTCAACACTGATCCAAGCTAGACCTCGCCTCCTTCGCTGGCGCCAACTGCGACGGGGGGGGGTCCAGCGGGGTGGGATCTGACCCACACCCGACCTAGACTTTGCCACCCAGGGTGGTGCCGCCTGCGCAATAGCCGCCAGTTTCGTGAGCTTGCAGGGGGTCCAGCGGTACCCATACGCAACCTAGGCATCGCCCCCGTGGGAGGTGCCAACAGCGCAGCTGTCGCCACTTTCGTGAACTGATGCGGGTATTCCCAAACGTTGAAGATGGGTTGGGTACATGCCCGGGTAAGTAGCAGGCCCTCCCAGTTCCCTGGGTGCGTCCTCTAGGAATCTCGACGTTCTCGCACGCCACCCGGTTGGCCCAGGACAGCCCACGATGGTCTTGAAGGACGGCCTGGGATCCCATCCCGACGCCACAAGACGTTGGGTAATGGCACAGGAAGTCTCGACGGTGTTTCCGAGACGCTTGCGGACCGACAAAAGACGCCCAGACATGTTCCATGCCCACCAGTACGCATCCGATACATTCGACACCTTGTCCTAGCGATTCAAAGTATTGTCCGAACTAATCATCGAATAAGTTTCTAGGGAACCCCTCGAAGGCAAGGCACGTTGAAGAAATCTCGAAGCGGTGCTTGCACGATTAGCTAAGCGCTCCCTATTTATGCTCTACTGAATAAGGCGTATGATCTGCATTTGTGTAAAGTTGCTTGGCCTCAAATGGCCTCCTACGACTCGGCCTCCATGGCTTCCCTGCGGCCCGCCTCACTGGTTCCCCCCACGTTTTTTCCTGGCAGCTGCTAGGCGTCCTATGGCCTCGTGGGCCTGGCCTCCTATTCCGTCCCGCCCCAGCCCTTTTCCTTGGTAGCCGCTTGGCCTCAGATGACGTTCTTCCCGTCTGGCCCTGTTCCCCGCAGTTCTGGCAGCGGCCGTCTGGTCCCCTGTGGCCTCCGAAAGCTTGGCCTCCTGTGTCTTGGCCCCTTATGGCTTCCCCGTGTATTCCCTATGGCTTCTCGCTTCACTGGCGGGGGTTGTCGGAAGAGATTGGCCTGTCCTGCCTGCCGAGCACAGAGGTCCCACAGAGAGGAGTTTTGCGAATCAATCGTTTGATGTCCACGCGCTGGCCCAGGCTTCACAGCTCTCGATGTACCACCGCGCACCGCCCGGGCACCCAAGCTGCCCGAGAGGGCTGCAAGAGGGCTCCAAGGCAGCAGGAGACGGCTCCACGACGGCCCCCGAGAGAGCCCTTTTCCAAAAGACGGTCAGACCTTCAGGAGGCCCTGGCATCGCTTGGACGTGTGCATATTTTTCTCGGCGAGAACCATAGAGGACCATCCTCGACCAACGAGCAAAAAAAACACGCACGAAACCGAACAATGCACGGGAAATGGACGTCCGAGCGACGGCGAGAGGCCGCAGCGGGCCACGGGGGAGATTGAAGCAACGCGCCCACGCCCAAGCCACGACACGCAGGGCCATTAGCAGGCCACAGCGTCCAGGTGCCTGCGGCTCGGGCCCTTCACGAGTCGCCAGCCTCTGAGTGCAAGCACGGCTCAGGAGTCATCTTGGCATCGCTCGGACGTGAGGAGCATCCTGGATCATTTCGCGAAAAAAACACGCACGAAACCGAAACCAGCACACGGAATGGACGTCCGAGCGATGGCGAGGAATCGCCAGCCTCTGAGTGCAAGCACGGCTCAGGAGTCATTCGCAGGTGCAGTCACGGGTTCGCTGGGCTGCAGAGGAGCAGTGGCAGCCGCCCTGCCATCGGCACGGATCTGGGTCACGAGCTTCACCTGAACTTGATAGAGCTGGCGGGGCACCTATAGGGGGGGTGACCCTTCAAGCGAACGTCTGACCATTCGCAACCTCTTTACCAGGTCGCATCGATATCTTCGCCGTTGCGAGTTCCTTCAGATATGTATTTGTTGCACGTCGCCCAATGGTCGGCCACTTTCGCCTACAACGCCGGGATCAGCGCGTGCGAGAGGGTTGGGCAGTGGCAGCGGGCGTTGTTGCTATTCAGCGAATTGTGGGATGCGAATTTCGAGCCCAACGTAATCAGTTATGGCTCTGGGATCAGTGCATGCGAGAAAGGTGGGCAGTGGCAGCAGGCCCTGGCATTGCTCCGCGAAATGTGGAATTCAAGATTGGAGCCCAACAACCTTCTCTACAACGCTGGGATATGCGCTTGCGGGAAGGGCGGGCAGTGGCAGCAGGCACTCTCGCTGCTCAGCGAGATGCGGGATGCGAAGCTGGAGCCAGACGCCGTCGGCTTCAACGCTGGGGCTAGCGCGTGCGAGGAGAGCGGACAACGGCAGCAGGCGCTAATGTTGTTCGGGAGATGTTGGGCGATCATCTTCAATTGCGGGGGGCGGCGTTTGCAAGAAACGGAAATGGACTGATTGCCGCCACCCTCCCAGGTAAGTCCAGCGACACTGTGACGTCTGCCAGGCACCTGGGGACCTCCCCGGGTGCACCCACGCGGCCGCGGGGCCGCCCACGTCGGCCAAGTTATTTCCAAGGTGCCTTGGTCAATCTTCAATCTGCCCGGGGCGTTTTTGTTAGCGTTTTCGGCTCGGCGTCTTGGACATTTTTTTTTAGCGTTTCCAGCTCGCCGTCTCGGAGCACCTTGAAGGTGCTCCAAGACGGTCCCAAGCCTTTCCGTAGCCGTTTTGGCTCGAGCGGTTCCGCTGGAGCTCCAGGGTTTGCGCGTTCTGGCCTTTTCCGGGGCGCACCTCGGCCAATGGCGCCGCGACTGATGGGCGAGATCTCGGCATGGTACCCCGAGGAGGGCAGGGGGTACATCCAGCGCACGGTGAGAGAACGCACGGCGACGCAGGCCGAGGTCTTCGAGGTGTACGCCTTCCTGGGGACGGAGGTGAGCGGCGACCCGGCGGAGTTCGCGACGTTCAGCCCCGTGGCCTTCCGCTTCGGCGGCCGTAACAGCCGCGGGCAGTGGCTCGCGAGGCGAGTGCAGCCGCTGAAGGAGCCCGGCGTGGACGCGGCACCTGGCTGCGGTGCCCAGGACCTGGCGGGTGGCGCTGGCCCCGCTGGCGGGGAGCCGGAGGATTTCGCGGAGGCGGAGGCCAAGAGGCAGGCCAAGGCCAAGCGGAAGGCCAAACAGGAGAGCGCCGCGGACGCGCTGCCCGACGGCGGTGCGGCCCCGGAGGGGGTCCTGGCGCCATCGAAGAGGAGAAGGAAGTCGGACGCAGCCAAGGTGAAGGCTGAGGTGAAGGTCGAGGTGAAGACCGAGGTGAAGACCGAGAGGCTGTCTCCCGAGAGGGCCCAGCGGCGATCCCGCGTGAAGGCCGAGCCGACAGACTGACCCGACAGCGCCTGGCGCCGTACTGGGGGAAAAACGAAGGCCCGAAGACCCCGAAGAGTTCCACATCTGACTTTCTAGCGGTCCAGAAGAAGCTTCTCATATGCCCACCGGATGGAGAAAACATGGGCAAACATCATGAACTCAGCATTCAGCACGCGTGAATATTGTGAAGGCCTTACGGCCGGTGCCGCCAACCCACAAGGAAGACGGCGGCGACGACGATCACCACCACCACCACGACCACGACCACGAGGACGAGGACGAGGACGAGGAGGACCACGACGACGACGAGCTGATGACCCTGCCACAGGCTCAGGACAGGGAGGGGGCGGGCGATGGAGGGAGGAGGAGGAGAAGGAGGAGGACGAGGAGGAGGAGGAGGAGGAGGAGGAGAGGAAAAGGAAGAGGAGAAGGAGGAGGAGGAGGAGGAGGAGGAGGAGACGAGGAGGAGCTGAGGAGGATAGAGGAGGAGGAGGAGGACGAGGAGGAGGAGGAGGGGGAGGAGGAGGAGGAGGAGGAGGAGGAGGAGGAGGAGGAGGAGGAGGAGGAGGAGGAGGAGGAGGAGGAGAAGGAGGACAAAGAGGAGGAGGAGAAGAAGGAGGAGGAGGAGGAGGAGGAGGGGATGAGAAAGAGGAGGAGGAGACAGAAGAGGAGGAGGACGAGGAGGAGGAGGAGGAAGAGGAGGAGGAAAGAACGCTACAATCTTAGGATTCAAGTTTGTCCGACGTCAAAGGAGGAGGAGGAGGAGGAGGAGGAGGAGGAGGAGGAAGAGGGGATGGGGAGGGAAGCCATCTGTCTCCTCGGGGGCGGGCGTCCCGGAGGCGAAAACGGAGGGGGGGGGAAAGCCCCCAGCAGGGGATGGGTCAAAACTCTCGGAGCACCCCCCCCCCTGGGGACCCCCCTGGGACCGCCCCCTGGGACTCCCCCTGGGACCCCCCCCGCTCGGGGGAAAAGGGACGAAGGGAAGACGCTACCCTTCGACGTAGTTACGACATTGCTCGATCCCCCGTGTGTGTGTGTGTGTGTGTGTGTCACGACGTCGACGATTCGAAGGAGGCTGGCGCACTCGAGGCGAACACCGAGGGGCAAAGCCCCTAGCGGGGGAGGGGTCACAACCCCCGCCCCCCCCCCCCCCCCCCCAGGGACCCCGCCCGAGACCGCTCCTGGGACCAACCCTCTGCACGAACGACATGGGTACGGAAAGAATGGGTACAATGCCCAACAGCAGTTCCTGTTCATTTTGAGCAGGACTCGCTGTCCGCGCCGCCGCGGCCTGTGTCCATTGGAGACAGAAGACCGCCTGCCCAACAGCGGCCGCTGTTGGTTTGGGACAACATTTGTTGTTGGGCATTGTAATCATGCTTTCCATACCCATTTCGGGCGTCCAAACCCGAAACCACCCGAAAGACTTGTGGAAGTCGGTTAATGGAGAGGAAGCATGATGCCAAATATTTCCCAGATGTCTAAAAACATGTTTCAAACATGATTTAAATATGAAAAAAACATGTTGGAAACGTGCTTCGAATCTGTATTACACAGTTTAAACACATCTTTAACTCAATGATCGGATTGTTAGAGTGTCCATTGCCATGGCATCCACAACTCTAGACCCCCACCCCCCGGCGGGGAAGGGATAAAAGGAAGGGACTGCTCTTCGACGTAAGGACGACATTGCTCGATCCCCCTGTTTGCTCGATCTTCTCCCTTGGGACGACGACGGTTCCAAGGGAGGCTGGCGTACTTGCGTTCGGGGGCTGGCCTCGCGTCGAGGGGCCTCTCACGCACGCCGGCTGGGCCGGCGGATTTCTACAGTACCTCCCTGCGTCGCACGGGATTCAGGAGGGGAAAAAACACACAGACATAATGAATCGTCGATTCCCCAGAAAATATTGAAATATGGGAAGTGGGGGGAAGACAACAGCCCAGAACATAAAGAACATATGGGGAATCCTGTTATTTGTGTCTATTTATTTGTGTGTGTGTGTGTCCCAGGGCCCCTTCAAGGATGACTCCCAGAAGGCCTCACGACGGCTCCGATCCCGAGGCCGCCGCAAGACGGCTCAAGGGACTCGTTCGCGACTTTCCCTCGACAGTCCAAGACCGATCCAATGCGACCCGACGGGTCCCGGATGGCCCCCGAAGATCTCAGGGAAGGCAGTCGTGCGAGGCGCGCGATGATTCTCAGCCACGCGCAGAGTGGGGTGGGGGAGGGGGGAGGGCTTCTTAGAAGCACCCCTGCTCCTTAGTTAGAAGGCGCGGGCCTTATCTATAGATGTAAGGCCGGCGCCTTCTAAGAAGCAGCCTCCTTCTAAGAAGCCCTCCCCCTCCCTCCACACCCTTGTGCGCGCCGCCAAGATTCTTGAGTATCTTCGGCATGCGCGCGTGTGTGGCGCGCGTGGTCAAATGTGACAGAATGGCCATACCCATGCGGTGCGCGTAGGAGCTCAGCGAGTGCACGCGCGCGCAGACATCTGGCAACTCCCTGCTGAACAGTTGTCCCCAAACAGCGCTTGTACTCACAGTCGGTCCGAGATACAAGGTCGAGGTCGGTTCGGGGATGTTACCCTAGTGTGTTTCGTGTTTGTTGGATGAATTTCCGCATCCTGGGGAGGGTACCCTTGGATGGTCCATTGCAATCGCATTGCAATCGCATTGCGTTGCGTTGCTTCGCATTGCTTTGCGTCGTTGTGCATCGCATTGCATTGCTGTGCGTCGCTTTGGATTGCAATGCAATTCCATACATTACAATCGCATGGCATTGCATTGCTTCGCATCGCATTGCATCGTTTTGCGTCACTTTGCATGGTTTTGCATGGCTTTGCATAGCTCTGCATGGCTTTGCATTGGCTTTTCTTGGACTGCGCTGCGTTGCATTGTTTTGCACTGCGTTGCTTCGCATTGCTTTGCATTGCATTGCGTTGCATTGTTTCGCACTGCGGTGCGTTTCCTTGCATTGTTTTGCATTGTGCTGCATTGCTGTGCATTGCATTACGTTGCATCATTGCTTTGTACTGGATTGCATTGCTGTGCGTCGCTTTGGATTGCATTGCAATTCCATACATTACAATCGCATGGCATTGCATTGCTTCGCATCGCATTACATCGTTTTGCGTCGCTTTGCGTGGCTTTGCATGGCTTTTCATGGCTTTGCATAGCTCTGCATGGCGTTGCATTGGCTTTTCTTGGACTGCGCTGCGTTGCATTGTTTTGCATTGCGCTGCTTCGCATTGCGTTGCATTGCATTGCGTTGCATTGTTTCGCACTGCGGTGCGTTTCCTTGGCATTGTTTTGCATTGTGCTGCATGGCTGTGCATTGCATTACGTTGCATCATTGCTTTGTACTGGATTGCATTGCTGTGCATTGCCTCACATTTTCTTTGCACCACAACAATTGCACCACATGGACTGCACCACCTAGATTGCACCACATTGATAGTACCGCCAAGGTTGCAACGCGTGTATTGCAAGAACTCGTTGTTTGCGGTCCACGCTGGCTTCATGTTTCAGAATGGGTGGACAGCCAGTGGCTTTTGAACGATTTTGACATGCGCGCGCGGGGTTGTTCGAATGTGGCTTGCACTGTGTTCTCCCAAGCGGTGCTTGCACTTAGTGGCTCTTACGTCAGTTGCCCGCGGGAATCCGATGGATCAGGCGAGGTTTCGCCCGGGGCCTGGTGCCCGATTTGGTGGGCGTCTGTGGGCGCCTCGTGGGCGCCTCGCGCGCCAGGTGGATCTGCCGCAGTTCCGCTCGGTGCCGACCCGTGGGCGCCTCGTGGGCGCCTCGCACGCTGGCAACGCACACAACAGAGCTTGCGCCGCATCGCTCTCTTCTCAGCGAGAAGGTTTCCGCTATAGAGTTGGTATTGTATTGTTCGTATACAGCTTGCACCACATGGCCTGCACCAAGATTCGCCCACTCAGCTTACAGCCGGGGCCCTGAAGAAGGAACCCTTTTCGTTGGGGAGGGGCTCCGTGTTCCTTGACTGCTTCACAGTTCGCCTTGGGTTTTCCTTTGGTTTTCGATGGGAAATCGGAGTTCAACTTGTGGGAGAAAGGGGCCCCGTTCCTTATTTATCGCTCCTTAGGTCAACGCCCCGACTGTACACCACGCATCTTGCACCACCCAGCCCGCACCTCCACGGGGCAACGACGTACTGTCTGGGGCCCACGTTGGCGAACACCACTCGACAGGGAAGAAAATGTTACAACGCGCACGCCTGAGATCAACGCATCAACGCACCGCACTGTTCTTTTGCAGGAGGTGAAGGGGTCGCTACTGGTCGGCCAGGGCTTCCTCCAGATATTTGGAGCGGACGATTTTTTGTGCAGAATGGACACGAGAGGCATACCCGGAGGGGTACTGCGAACCCTGGCCTCGGTGGGCCTGCGAATGCCCAGGTCGGCGGCGAGCATGGGGGGCAAGCGAGAGGGGGCGGCCGTCTCAGAAGGCTCGGAAGTCCTTCGGCCTCCTGGGAAGCCTGCTGAGCCTTCCACGAGGGCGCAGACCTGTTTTCGGAGTGCCGGAGGGCTTCTGAGAAGCCCTGGCGCCTTCCGAGCAGGCCTCCCCCTTCGCACTCCCCCCACTGGCAAGCTCCCCAGACAGCCTTGCAAGCGTCTTTGCAGGCGTCTCCCATCTGCTGTTTACGCGCTTTGGATTGCTCCGTTATGTGGGTTTGGGACGCCCCGAGTGATGCCACCAGTTCTCGGATAGCTCCTTGTAGAGCCCAAAGGTTTGAGATATTAGAAGCTGGGAGCGCAGAGTAGCCCGGAAGCTCGTTCTGGCGCCGGCCCAGGAACCTCGCCGCGGCCTGCCTGAGCCAGCAGCGCCTTCCGGGAGCGTTTTCCCGCTCGTTCCCAAGACGTCTCCGCGGAGCTTTTTTGGTGGTCTCCAAACCAGGTGGTGAGACACCCTGTGGTGACCCCGATTCCCCCAAGAAATAATTCTGGGTCACCACCGGGTTTGGGGACACGCGGTCGCCACGAGGTTTTGCGTTTCCTGGGCCAGCCAGCGCTCGAAAACCATTACCCAAATCGCCCAAAACTCACCACCGGGTGTTCTCACCACCACGTTTGGGGACCACCAATTTTTCCGCAGCAGTCGAAACCCGTGGGGAGCTGCCGCGCACGAGTGGTGCAAGCTGCGCGCGCCTCCGGAGCCGCGGTCCGGAGCGCGCGGCGGCCACGCATGAGGCCAAGGGCGGGCACCGGGCGGAGACCCGCAAAAACACCAGCGGGCCCGCGGGGCGGCCATAAGGGCGGCCACGGAGAGCCACGCGGGGGCCAAAAGTCCGTAGGAGCCACGCGGGGAGCCAGCTGTGCAATTACTGTTTTTCGGGGGCGGAAAAGAGGGGGGTGAGGACTAGGGGGGGGGGATATGATGGCGGGGGCCATGATATTTCCCCAGATGTTATGCCGCCTCTTCTTGCTTCATTACGTCCCTGGTCCCTCCGCTGGGCCGCGCACATGCCGCCGGTGATGATTTGCACCCCCCCCTCTTTGACGCCCCTCTCCTTGCCGCTTCCGAGTTTTGAGGAGCACGCAAACGTGTACCCGCATCGCACAGGAGTCGCAAGGACACGCCCAAGCCATGTCGGCGCAAGCCCTGCTGTCACCTTACCTGCGGCGGCGAGCACGGGGGGAGGCGAGGAGGGAGCAAGGCCTGCTCAGAAGCCCTCGCGCCTCCGGAGATGTGTGCTTTGGCATCCTCGGGGAAGGCTCCCACCACTTCCCACAAGGCCCGAGGCCTCCCGAGCCCTCCGAGCCAGGCCCGCCGCTGCTCACTTCCCGACCCGAGGCTCGCCGCCGACGTCTGCCGCCCTTTGGGCCTCGGCCCTCCCCCCCCCGCCCTGCCCCGTGCTCCGGCACGGCCGGGGCGAGGGCCGCTGAGCAGCCATGCCGCTGGCTGCCGAGCGGGAGGTCATCGGGCGCCTGCGGGGCATCGAGCGCCCCGACGAGCTGGACGCCATCGAGGAGGGGGACGACCCCGAGCTGCAGGACGACGGGCCGGTGGCGTCGGGGCGCGCCGGGCGAGCAGAAGTCGGCATGGCCCGCGGGGTGCAGAGGATTCGGGCCGAACGCAAGGGGGGGGGGGTAGGGAAAGGGAGGGTCCTGACATCTGCTGCATGCAGCTGGTTTCGGCCCAGTCCTCGATGCATGGGCGCCTCCCGGCGCCGGGAGGCTGGGAAAATCAATCAGCTATACGTGGGCTGATTCTCTACCCTGCCCTTTGCTATCCCCCCCTTTTCTCAGGAGGGGAAAAACACACACAGACACAACGAATCGTCGATCCCCAGGAAAATATGGGAAAATATGGGAAGTGGGGGGAAGACAAAAACCCAGAAAATATGGGAAAATATAGGGAATATTTTTTTTATATGTGTGTATTTATTTGTGTGTCCCAGGGCCCCGTCATTTTCGTTGCCCCCAGAGGATGCGGGGGGGCAAGACGTCGGACTTCGCCACCGCCGAGTCCACGGGGAGCCGCGGGAGCCGCTGGCGCGAGGGCGATCCCATGGGCAAGACGGTGAGCTTCGCTGCAGACCCCGGCTTCCAGGAGGAGCTTGGCGGCGCGCTCAAGGGGGTAGGGGGAGGGGGGAAGGCTTCTTAGAAGGAGTCTGCGTCTTAGAGGGCGCCGGCCTTACATCTAGAGGTAAGGCCGGCGCCTTCTAAGAAGCAGGGGCGCTTCTAAGAAGCCCCCCCCCCTCCCCCTACCCCCCTCTGCGCGCCGCCAAGGAACGCTCCGACGACACGAGGGGCACCTTCAATCCCAGGCGGTCGCTGAACGAGGAGCCGAGGCCCTACGAGTACTCGCACTCCGAGGAGCCCGAGGAGGCCGAGCGGGCGAGGCGGCCCTTCCGGGAGCGGCTGGCTGCCTGGGCGTCGGGGCTGCGAGGGCGCAGAGAGGAGGAGGACGCGTTCCGAGGGAGGAGCGGCAGGGCTGGACCTAAGCGCCGTTTCGCTGGATTTCGACTGTGTGATCTGTGTTTCGTTTTGGCAGGGGGGTCCAGGAAGGCAGGCGGAGCAACACGAAAAGCGGCACGAGAACGAAACGCAGCACAACGGTTAGGTCCAGCCCTGAGGAGCAGCATGGACCACTTGAGGGGCACCATAGCTGCACATGGCCTGAATGCGTTGGACGTCGGAGGGCGTTTCTTTCAAGACGGCCTCGCCGTGGCGCAGAAGGGGCTGACGCAGGCCAACCAAGGCATGACCGCCCTGGGCGCAGGCATCGGCCTGCTCGAGCAAGACGACGACCTTGACCTGGCGCAGGAGGAGCTCGAGGCCGAGGAGAAGTCCAGGACTTGGGAGATCATAATGGAGCTGAAGGCGATTGAGTACGTCGGGAAGGACGACGAGATAGATTGCTTCTTCGCGGCAACTATTCAGCCAGAGAACCCTCTTGCGCGACAAGATACCGTGAGGCTGCTCCCAGAGTTCACGCCTGCATATATTCTGGCAAAGGGTAAGAGACGGGAAGACAGCAGATTGTGCTTAGAAAACCCTTATCGTATGTTTGAGAGGAAAAAGTTTAGAATGTCGTACAAGCGCCTGAAGAGTCACATATTAAAGATTGACATGTGGAAGGTGTCGAGGATATCTTTCAATACGTACGTTGGCGTTGGAACCAGAAGCGTCCATCAAGTTGCTACTAGCGAGGCCAACATGAACATTAAGCTCCGACAAACGCTGACCCAGCAGGACAAAGACGAGATGAAGAAGAAAAAGATCACGTCCACGCCCGACATTGCCGTGTTCGAGGGCTGCATTGTCTGCGAAGAGGTGTTCGATTTCCAGATGGCGTGCGAGAATTGGCCCTCCGCTCGGAAGCCCCTGAACTGACGACCAGGGAAGGGCCGCCTACGATCCGATTCGACAGTGCTGGACCTAAGCGGTGTTTTGGTGATTTCGTGGGCCGTTTTCGTTTCGACTCCGTTTTGAGGTAGAGGTGGATTGGAGACAAACGCGAGGGAAAACGAACACAAAACACACCGTTCAGGCTCAGCCCTGCGATTCGATGCGCTTCCATCTTGCTGGCTGGGACGCGACCCCGACCCGATCGACTCCTGACCGACCCGCCGGCAACGGCTACGTGCCGGCCAGAGCCGGGCGCGGCGATCCGACTTCGGATGCGATCCGGGGGGGGGCCGCTGGCGATCCGACCCGTTCTCGATCCGATCGGGCCTCGCGACGCGATCCAGCTCGGGCTCGCTTGCCGGCCTAATTGGGCCCGATCCGCCTCGTCTCCGAGGCGGGGATGGATCCCTATCCACCGCCCGGAGGGTCAGGTTTCGGAGCCTCGGCAGGCGGTGGATAGGGACAGATTCGGGCCCCCGTGGGCCGAAACATATCCATGTCATCCATGTCCACCGCCCGCTGGGGCACCAGGACGTCGGTTCCCAGGCGGTGGATCTGGATAAATCCCCGCCTCGCATCGTCGTCCAGACGATGCACCGAGCGGCCAGGATCGGGACGGTCGGAAGGGCGGTCGACTCACCACCCACCAAACCACCCCAACCCAACCCGAAGGCTCAGATTTGCCCTCCATTTCCAGTGTGGGGGGGTCGCGGAACATCGAAAGAATACGTATGGAACCCTTACCCCCCCCAACCCGAAATTCGGGTCTTCGGGTTGGGTTGGGGTGGTCTGGTAGGTAGTCATCGACCGGCCGGGCGCTCGGCGTGCTTCGTGACTCCGGCGGCGGCCGGCGAGGTCGGAGTCGGGATCAGGCCGTGGAGCGGCCTCCTCCCTTTCTTTTTGTCGAGGGTGCAGCGAGGAGGGGGAGGGGAAGGGATGACGAGAAGAAGGCAGGTGTTCTCCTCCTCCTCCTCCTCCTCCTCCTCCTCCTCCTCCTCCTCCTCCTCCTGGCCTCAAAGAAGAGCCCTGTGGTTTTCAGTCGCACAAGCCCCGTCGAGAGGGAGGCCCGAGGAGGCTCCCCCAGTCAAGCGTCCGAGTCGCCGCAAGCGAAGTCGAACAGTTTCCGGAACCGTGCGATGGTCACCTCCTCCTCCTCCTCCTCCTCCTCCTCCTCCTGCTTCATGCTTCCTGATGGCATGAGTGCTCCGCACGCTGCCGCTTCCTTCAGAATTGACCAAAAGCCAGCCCTGGGAGTGTAAACTAAGAACGTAGAACAACATTTTAAAGCAGACAAGCAGGGGGGAGAAGGACGGGAGGAGAGGACATCACATCGACATAGCAACCATCTCATAACCCCAAGAGGCAGAGAAAGAGAGGGGGTGCTGGTGGCAGCAGCTGTGAATGTGGCGATGCACTGCAAAACATCGGGCGCGGCCCCTTGGGGCTAGGTCTTCTTGTGGGTGTGCAGGGTCCTCTCCCCTTCGGGTCAACTGGCCATCTTGGGCCAGCGCCCTGGAGAGCGCCCAGGATCCCCCTCACCCGAGGTGCCTTTTTTTATCAGACGTGGAGGAAGTTGCGAAATGCAGAGGCGCCGTTGTGCGGGGATCAAGTGAGCAGCCGTTGCCTACATACACGAGGCGACGGCGGGTGGGGTGACGGTGCTGCTGGGGAGGGGTGGCCGTGGCCAGCGTCATTGCGGCCCTCCGCGGCACGCTCACAAAGTTGGCAGTGTGAGCAGCTTCGGCAGGGCAGGTCGGTGAGGTGGGGGGCGAGCAAGGGAGGCTACAGAGACAAGGCGGCCGGCAGGGACAGCAGACCGGACGTGGTGCGTTCGCTGCGGCTGGCAGAGACTGCGCAAGGCGAGGAGAACAGGTTAGGTGGTAGCTGTGCGCAGAAGCAGTGCGTTCGCTGTGTGGCGGTGTTCCTGCCCTAGCCGTAGCCACGCCCGCCGAGTCGGATGGCCCAATGGCCTCTCCCTCTGATCATTGTGAGCCCCCAGAGGCGTACCCAAGGCCATAGGCGAGATCCCTCGCCTGCGAGCAGGCGTAGGGTCCCCAGCACTTTGACCTCAGGGCCGCCCTGGGGGGGTCCACCGAGCGTGAGGGACGTTGGGGCCATCCCGGCGGTGGCAGGTGCCACTCGCCGTTGGGCGGTGGGCCGGCCCCGCTCGCCAAGCGGGACGGCAGAAGGGCCGCTCCCCCTCTGCACGGAGGACCCCCTCCCGAAGTGACCGCCATCCCCGTGGCGTGCATCTTGCCCTGCAAGCAGGAGCCTGGTACCCGGACCGCGGAGGTGGGGGACATGCGGGGGATTTCCACCGTGCTTGGGGGGAGGTTTTTGCCTTCCATGGCGGCGGCTGGGTGGCTGCTGGTGTGACGTACCCCCCCCCCCGCAGTCCAAATGGCGCAACACCCCGTCCCCTTCTGCTGACAGTTTCGGCAGGCGGCCGAAGGTCGCAGCGATGCTCTAGGAGAGGCTGGAGGTGCGAGTGAGAAGGTGGAGGTGGGTAGCCGTGCATGGTGACCGCCTGGCCACTGCGTAGCACAGCAAGTAGGTGGCTTCCGCGGCCGCCCGGGCCCTTGCCAGGCGGCCTGTGGTGAGACCCTGCCCACTCCGCCTCGTTCAACCCGTCCCGCCGCCACAGGAGTTGGGGTGAAGTGAGGTTAGCGCGCAGGGAAGCGGGGGGAGCGGGGCAAGAGCAGGAAGCCAGGAGGCAGGGAAGATTGGAGGTTGGTTGAAGGTTCCCGCGTTGGTTGCGGTCGCATAGCTTGTGGGTGAGAATGCCCCTGAGCGGCCCAGTCATACCATAGCTTAATATGTCGCCGTTGACGTCTGCCGAGACCTTGTCTGTGTGGGGCGTCGGATAAGGTAGCATAACTTGGTGGGTGAGAATGCACCTCGGGAACCCACTGCATAGCATAGCTATTCCTGAGGTGGTCGTCGTTCGTTGGTCCCACAGGAACCCCTTGCTGCTGCCATCTGAGAGGTGGTCTGAAGATGATGCGTTCAGCCGTGCTGCTGCCAATCGCATCGGTGAGTGCGTACTGTTTGGTCAAAGGGTAGTGCCGAGGTAGGCGCCGGGAGGTAGCAGCTGGCGTAAGGTAGCCTGTCTGTCGTAGACCAAGATTGGATATAACAACCGTGCAGGCTGAGGATGTAGGCGCACTGACGGGCCGCTGTAAGGCCAGTCCCGTCGGGAGGCGTGAGCCTCTCGGTTGTGGGCGGTCCAGGGAGATTGTCCTGATTCGGCTTGGGTGCGTCGGGCTGCAAGTCCTCGCAGCAGTGTTTAACTTCCAACGATGGCCAGGGGGCGGATACGTCGTCTGAGTTAACATCCTCGTGTGTGTTCTCGGTGTGGGTATGGTCATTTTTGTGCTGGTGGCTTGCTGGCGGCTGGTAATCGCTTGTGGTCGTGAGCCTGCAGATGTCGGTTTCTCCTGTATGGCTCTCTGTCGGCTTGATCGGGTTGCTGGCATCGATCATGGTCCATGCTGCAGTTGTAGGTCGGTCGATGCTGCCCAACATGATATGAGCTGCCGGGTTGGTTACTGCTTGTTGGTTGTTGGGTAGCCTCTACAGGGCTGGATGCTCTGTCACGGTTGGCCACCTTTTGCGTATTGGTGGATCTTTGGTCTGCTTGCGTTCGTCTGGCTGTGTTGGTTGCTCCGGGTTAGGCGGGTTCGTCGGTCGCTTATCTTCTTGCGCTTCGTGTTGTCGGTCAGTTAGTGTTTCACGGTTTAGGTCAGTTGGGTTCGGTTTCTTTTGCGGGTGTGTCGGGTTTTGTTGATGAGCTCTGTTGTCCTCTGCATGGCTACTGTCGCGGTTATGTTTTGGAAGCGCGTGAATGGGAAGGGCGTTGGCGTGGAAGTCGGGTTGTAGCGTATGGTCAGCTTGATGAGCATGAGCATGCCCTGCCGTTGTGTAGCCATGATCTTCCATCGGGCCTCTTTTCCCGCGGTCCACTGCTCGATCGTGGCGAGGCCCTTCCTCCTGTAAAGTCAGTGCGCCGGCCTCTCTCGGGATGGACCCGCGCGCCTCGGGCTACGTCTGATCCTCCTCCGTCCCCTTCGGCACCTGCCGAGAGATCTTTGCGGCTCTGAATGCCGAGACTCCAGGGGCCCTGAGACCCCTCCTCCTCCTCCTCCTCCTCCTCCTCCTCCTCCTCCTCCTCCTCCTCCTCCTCCTCCTCCTCCTCCTAGGCCCCTGAAAGCCAGGGCTCTGAGCCTTCCAGGCTGGAGCGGGCGCAGAGTGGAGCACGCCGCTGCGACCCACGGCCGCAGTTCCCCTCGGGCGCACCGAGGTCTTGGTTTGCCAAGAAGTCCCCGCCTGGAGGTCGATTCGCGTGGTGTCGACCGGCCGGGACCCCAGCGCGGGCTTTTAAGATTGAACGCGGCCCGTGGCCCTGAGTCGGCCTCTCGTTGAATGACCCGGCGGCTCTGAAGCTGCCGATCGTTCCAGCCACAAGTTCGAACGGCCCCCGCGGTGTCAGGGGCCAAGGCCGGGGTCGACACGGCGTGGATCTACCGTAGCCCTCCAGAGAAGGACTTTTGACCCTGGGCTCGTCCAGAAACGATTCAGGACAAGAAACAGGCTTGGGGGAATGAGAAGGGACCGCCGGTCGGCCGCGTCTCGAACAATCGCGCTGACTCTCTGGGCAAGGCTTCTGGAGATGAACCCGAAGCACCCGGACTGCCAGCAGTGGCTCTCCGAGAGGAAGTGCCTCACCTTCGCATTGCCCAGGGACGCCCTGTCCAACGCGTCTTCGCGCCGGAGGTGCAGGATCGCGCGAGCTTTGGTCGGGCATGACCTCCTACAGGCGGATGTTTTTTTTTTTTTGAAAAATGAGCATTAGCCCAAATGCATTCGAACAGAATGAGAAATTGTCTAAAAATCTTCCCCATCCTATTTTTGACTATTTTCCAATGCTCCTCCTGTAGAGGGACATGCCCGACGAGATACGAGCACCTTCATCCTGTACCCCGTTTCCTCCTTCCCTCCCCATCCCGAGGGCCTCAGCTCCTCATGCTACGCCTCCTCCCCGCTCTCTTGCGAAAGCTCGTTGTTCTTCGTCGTCGCCCCCCCCCCTTTTCCCAAGAGTGCGAGGATTGTCCGCACCCCCTGGAGCCCCGACACGTCGAAGTTCTTCTGGGGGGCGCTCCGCCTCAAGAAGGTTTCTTTCCGGGGGACCCGGACGTCGCTGCAGAATTCCTTCTTCGTGGTCATGGTGCACAGTGGCAACCCAGTCTTGGAGTCCCTTCCACCGTTCATTCACATCGGGACGGCGCTCATGGGCCTCACCTCTGTGCTGGACATCTCGGTATTCCGAGGGAGGGCCAAGGCGTTGGCGAACGAGGAGGAGAGCTTCAACGTGGCGGTGCTTACGGGCAGCATCCGCTGCACGGAGAGGTCCGTGGGCCACAAGGATGAAGTCGGGTGTATCCTCCTACAGGGGGAAAATTTCAAAAATTAGTGAGAAGATAATGTTGCTGACGATTCCTCTACTTTTTGTTAGCGAGTATTTTGAATGTAAATATTTTCAAGAGTATGTTTTAGCTTTCGTTTCAATCCGCCTGTAGGAGGACACGCCCGACCTAACACAAGGATCAGGAGGTGGTCCCCGGCGGCCGCCCGAAGCAGCCCAAGTCGGAGAGGACAGTTTCGCACCTCAGCAAGAAGGAGATGCACCTCGTGGTGCGGGTTGCCAAGTGTGAAGGGCTGCCAGTGGGCGACACGGAATTCGGCACGTCGGACCCCTTCCTGCGCGTGCTGTGGGACAACGGGGTGCAGACGTCCCAGACCATCAAGGGCACGCTGAGGCCGGTGTTCAATTTCAACACGTACTTCCCCGTGCGATTCTTCAACCCCAGGATTATGATGCCGAGGCACAGGGAGACTTCATTGATGTTCGAGCTGGCCACCAAAGGCGACATAACGCTGCAGGTCTGGGACGACGACGGCACGTCTGCCGATTATCTGGGGGGCACCAAAGTGCACATGTGGCAGATCATGGAAAGCAAGGTTATACAGAAGCGCTCGCTGCTCGGGCAGGCTGCCAAGATAAAGGAGACGGACCCCGATGCCGACATGGGCAGAGCGAAGGTGAAGCAGTGGTTCGAATTGGATCGGGAGGTGCGGGTGTTCGACGGCACGAAGACTGAGCTCGTGGGTTGCAACCTGCCCAAGACGGAGCCCGCGTACATTTACTTCGAGGCCTATTTTTATCCGGACGATTGGCCCGATGAGATGGAGGGCCTTCGGCACGAGGAGGAGGGCGAGCACAACGACGCTCACTGGAGGAAGAAGGAAGAGTGGTTCCACGCGAAGGCCTCAAAGTTCGCCCAGGTGTACGGGGCGATCTACCCAGACTCCATCGGGGCCTTCCCCCCTGCGTCGGACACTTCGACCGTGAGCAGGACCAAGCTGCTCCGGCGCTTCCCGAGCATTGGCCTGCACCCACAGACGCTCACAGCCGTGCCGCTCATGGCCTTCCTGGCGAAGATCGTGGCGCCAGAGGAGTACACAAGGCCGGCGGCGCTGCTCCACTGGATGAACTGCATCACTTTTTTCTGCACCGAGGCGCAGGAGAAGAGCGGCAGGATTTCGGAGGCCGGGTGGAAGGATCCGCAGACGCTGCTGTCGGCCCGGAAGGGTACGGTTCAGGACCACGCCGTCCTCCTCTGCTCCGTCCTGCTGGGCAACGGCAGCGACGCCTACGTCTGCAAGGGCACGGTGTGGCGGGAGGAGGGCTCATCGGCGACGGGCCAAGGCTCGCAGGAGAAGACACCGAAACTGGTGGAGCACGTCTGGGTCATGACGCGCGACGAGGAGACAGGGTGGGTGACGTTTTGGGAGCCTTGCAGCCGCGAGATGTACCACCTTCCGCACAGATGCACCAAAAAGGAGAAGCAGACCTATGGGAAGAAGCCTAAGAGGGCACTGTCCACCTTCGTGGGCCACCTGGGGGGGGACCAGCACGGCTACGGTGGCCTCCAGAGAGGCGAGTCCCGCCAGCTCGGGGAGGACGACTATCAGTCTGGTCTCCTGGCATCGATAGGGGGCACGAACCGGCACGCCACGCAGCCCAAGGCGAAGGCGAAAATGGGCAGCAGGGCCGCCAGGAAGCTTCGTGAGGACAACATGGTCCAGGAGCGCCAGACCAGCGATCTGGCGCCTGACCAAAAGATGCTGGCGGACATGGGCGGCATTCATCGTCCGACGCTGGTGGATTGGTTGCCCTACGATTCCATCGACATCGTTTTCAATCGGGAGAACGTGTGGGCCAACCACATGAACCACCACCCTGCGTGCATCACCTACAATATGTACGAGACAGTTGTCGACGACGACACCGCAGGTTGGTTGCCGCTGCTTAGCAAAGAGGAGCAGAACACGGCAGAGTTCAAGGTGGACTACATCGCTTCAGAGGATGTCACCCTCGAGCCCGAGTCGCAGCCAGAACGGCTGGCAAAGCTTGAAGGGTCTCTGGTGGCTGAGATGAAGGAGAACATGAGGCTTTTCCGTCAGAGGAAGGGAATGGACACCAATTGGGACCGCGACCCGGGTCACAGCATCCAGTCGGAGGTGGTCAAGTTCCTGGGTATACTGGAGATGATGCGCAGGCTCGATGTGGACTTCTGCCCATTCGCAGACAAAGCTGGGCTCACGGAGGCGGAAAGCTACATCGTCGAGCGCCTTGGGCTCGGGACCGAGAAGTACAACGTCCACGGTTCGCCCTTCCGGGACTCAAAAGGTTACGAGACCTACCCTGAGGAGCAGGAGCGGGAGTGGAACTTCGTGGTGGGCAGGGTTCAGAAGTTCCTGGACCGGAAGAAGTCGTTCCCCGTCAAGAAGGGGAAGGTCTTCCGGGGGCTGCCGATCCACTTCGGCACGTCCGACAAGGACGAGATCAGGAACTACCTGATGGAGGACGCGCAGTACAGCGAGGAGATCCTGGGCGTGGCCAGGGACGAGGGCGTCCTGTTTTCCGTGCACTGCAAGATGTTCGGGCTGCTGGGCGGCGTCCAGTCCGTCTGGCTGTACTTCGGCATCCAGGAGCCCCTGGAGCACAGGAAGGAGGCCCCCGGCGCCGGCGCCGAGAGCGCGGGCGAGCCCAAGAGCAGGAGCCTCGACGCAGGCGCCACGGGCGGCCCCCTGCCGGACAGCGGCGGCGGGGTCCTGATGGACACGTGACGCTCCAGGCCTCCAGCACGGAGCCCGAGCAGGCGGGGTCGGAGGACTGCGCCGCATCGCACGTGTTTCGGCGACGCGGCTTTCGAGGTGGAGCCAGATGCTTTCCACGCCGACGTCGCCAGGGCGTCGCCGATGCACCGCCGACGCACCGTCGGTGCGTTGCCGATGCGGTGCGATCGTCCGGCCCAGTTTGCTCGCACCCCATGCGGGGAGACCTCCTCAGACACGTCGCCGAGGGCGCCTCCCGGGCCGCGCAGCCCGACGGGCACGCGGCGTGGCTCGAGGCACCGCCTCCGGCACGTCCCCGAGGGTGTCGCTGGGCCGCAGAGCGGCGGCAGCGCACGCAAGCACAGCAGAGCGGTGGACCCCGCGGCCGAGGTTGCAGCGGAAGCTGCCGCGGCCGCGCCGGAACCGTCATCGCGCGCTGTCCCGCCAGGTCGACGTCAAAGAGGAGGCCTGAAGCGGGGCGGCCGCGTCCACCTTGCTGGCGCCGTCGCGGGGGGAGCACACAAAAATGGCGCGCGCGCACACATACACACACACACACACACTTGATACACACTTGACGCACACGCACACACACAGTCACACGTGTTGGACGTCGCGGCCACGCGCGCAGCGACGTGGCGGAGTCAATCAGCACACACACACACACATCGTTCATTGCGCATGTTGCATAATTTCTGGGGAGCTGGATTTCGAGGAAGCCCAAGTTTAAATCATCTCTAACTGTTTCCCTAGGACATATTGTAGCCACCGTTGGGGGAAAGGACATTCAGAGAAAAAGACATACGCATTTTCAAGTGAACAGCGAACGTGCAAATAGAGCACCAATCGCATGCGTAAGGTATCATACACCCGCGCAGACCCGGAGGGGCCCAGTCCAGTATGCAGCATGTGCGCGCTCACACACGCCTAGGGGCGGCGGGGGGGTAGGGCCGCTCCTGGGCAGAGAGACTGGACCAGGCATTAGCGCTCATAGGTCAGAGGCTGGCCCCGCAGGATGCCCTGGGACAGACACCGGACTTGCGACAAGCGTGAGCCACGGAGGACTCGCGGTGGGCCTTGCTGTCACCAGAGCCAACTGCGGCATCAGGGCGGGCAGCGCACGAAGTGCGCAGGACCATGCCCCCAGGAAAAAGAGAGAGAGAGAGAGAAACTGCAGCTGCAGAGCGCGGCAGCGCACGTCCGTGACGCATCGCGCGCGCACCCCAGATGTGCACCGCGTGGGCAGCCCGTGCAGAGAAAGTGTACGCCCCCCGTGCCCGCTGCCCGCGATTGCCTGCGCCTCCGTCGCCCCCCTTGCCCCGAGGGAACCTGGGCGCGGCCACGGCCGCCGCAGAGGGCGACTCCGTCGGCGAGGACGCGGGGGCGGCGGCGAAGGGCGGAGGATCGTCGGTCCTCTTCGGGCGGGGGGGGGCAGGGCGGGGAGGGCCGCGTTCTCCTGCAGAGCGTGCAGGGTGGGATCTGCCCGCAGTTGGAAGCGGCACGCAGAGGCGAGGGAGGACAGGCGGGGGGGGGGGTCGCAGGCCAGCGGAGGGCCCCCGCGGTACAAGTCATACCCAGCTGCCTGCGGCAAAACCAACCCAGGCCACCAAGCCAGTGCAGCGTCGGACTGCATGCAACGTGGATCTACCGATCTACGAACAAGTTCGGTAGAGCCAGATCGGGGCCGTCTAGGAAGCAGTTCTAATGGGGTGCTTGGCACAGCAGTGACATTCCATGGCTGTCGAATTGCGTCTGTGATCTTCTTGGAGGCTGACTGAAGGCTCAGTTGGAGCCACTTGGGGGGCTCTTGGGACGGTAGGGGGGGCTGCGTGCGTAGAGAGTATGTTGCGAACACGATTATGCTGCAGAAGCAGCTGCTTGGACGATTGGACCCCTTTGTCTCTGAATCCCATTACGATTCCTTCTTTGTCCTTTTACGTTCCCTTCAGACTCTCAATCCTACCACGCTTTCTCCAAAGTCTCAACTCGGTGCTTACCAGAAGTGTTAACTTTGAAACGTGCACGTGTTGCGTAGCGAAGGCCATCAGTGCTACCCCCCCCCCGAAAGGGAAACCTAGTCCCGCAGATCCTTCTGCTCCATCGCAGCATCACCCTTGTGTTCGTCCTCTTTCTTTTGTTGCCGCTTAGCATCGTCAGCATCGTTATTCCTCCCCTCCTGTTCCTCCCTCCCCATCCTACTGCTAATACTGCTGGAGCCGATGCTGCTCTTCAGCCTCGTCCTCCTCACTCCTCCGCGAGCCAGACGATTTGGCTCGAGCAGCACTGCGCAGCGACCAACCTCCCGCCAGCAGAGCTGCAGCGGCCCCTGTCGTCGCTGAGCCCATGGGCGGCTTCGCTCCTCAGGACGAGAACGCCGCCCCTGGCAACGTGCAGGCGGTCGGCCACGACCCCGCCGACGCGGCGAAGAAGCCAGGAGCTCTGGCTCAGCGCGGAGGGGGCTCTGGGAGGCTGGCGCCCAGCGGCGCGGAGCTCGAGCGCACGTACTTCGAGGCGAGGCAGCGCGAGCGCCGGCTGGCGAACGAGCGCTCCTGCCACAGGCTTGCCGCGCGCAAGAGTGACCCTTCGCGGGAGTGACCCTGTGGTGCGGGCCCAACAAGCCCCACCCCCAGCTCTCATCCGCTTGAAGCAGGTCCCTGTCCCTGTGATCGCCGTCGCACGATCCCGGTGCCGATCTCGAGCATCCCCCGGTTTTCTGAGGGCACCTCCCCAAGAGTGTCGTCGCCCTGGGCTCGCCGATCCTGGGGATGGAGGTTCAAGTTCGAGGCTGGTTGAGCTCTCTGGCCTGCGCGCCCAGGTCGGGCCTTCCCCGCGGCAACCCCCCGGGGCCGCGCACCAGGGGGGGGCCACTCCTGCCCGGGGCCACTCCGACTGCGTGCCGCCGGCGACAGGGCGATCCACCACCCCGACGTCGTGCCGGGCACGCCGCGGCTCCACCGCCCGCGCTGCCCCAGCGCGCGCTCCGACGCCGCCTCCGACGCCGGCTCTCGCCCGCCTGAGACAGCCCCCGGCCCCTCTGGTTATGATGTTCCAACCTACTTTAGCCTTGATCGCCAGAAAGACTTTCGAGCACCAGCAGCAAATAGTGAATCTCGAGGGTTTTCGCGTGTCGGGCCCTGGGCGACACTGTTTCGACACTCTTTCGACACTTTTCCGGGTGCTCGAAATGATTTTTGGGATGTGGTCCTTACGTACGATGGGAGCAACACAACCCTCTGGCTGGCATCGCCGTGCCTCGGTGCCGATCTTGAGGAGGCTGCCCTCGGTCTCGGAGGGCGCCTCCCCAGGGTTGTGCTTCGGGGCTCCTGTGGCCATTTCAATGCTGGGGGCCGGGGGTCCGGTCGAGGCCGGTCAGGCTCGGGCTGCGAGGAGGGCGCGCGCCGCCGCGATCGCTCGGCGCAGCCGCGCGGGCGCCAGTGGCGGCCGGAGCTGACGACGCCCGAGGGCCCCCACCTCCGCACCGCGCTGCGCCAGCGCAGCAGCTCGCGGCGGGGCGCGGCGGGCGCGGACGCGCTGGTGTCCGTGAGCGTCGGGAGCTGGAGCTCGGGAGGAGGAAGGGGCAGAGTCCATTTCGAGCCAGTCCGGTCGGGTTGCGCCTCGGTTCCGGCCGGCCCGATCCGATTCGGCTCCGCTGTTTCCGGCGGTGCGATGGGGCCAGGGCGCCTGCCTGGCGCCGCTGCGCCTCCTGGCGCGGCGGATCCGATGCGGATCCGGCTCCGTGCCGATGCAGACCGATTCCACGCTCATTTCGGTTCGACTACGCGCAGGAGTGACCCTTCGCCGGAGGGACCTTTGGCGCGGGCCCACTGCAGGTCCCCCGATCGCCGCGTCTTGCGCGCTCGTGTTTGCTCCCCTCGCGGCCCCCCCAAAGCCGCGCACTAAAGGTCACTCGTACCCAGGGTCACAGTCAACCCGCGTAGCAAGGAGGGGCAACCATCTCTGGAGTACTCTCGCATCCTTGCCCCTCCGGTCCATCCCTGGCCACTTTCGCTGCCCAGCCTCCTTCCAAAGCCGGTCGCAGGGCCAGAGGCCGAGGCCCTCCAGAGGCCCTCTTGCATCCCTGCCGCGCATCCTTCTGATTCGGGCGGCCTGCGGCCGATTCGCTTCGGCCCGATGCCCCCCCCCAACTTCGATGCGGGCGGATCCTGCAGCGGCCCCGCTGCCGCAGCCGCCCCTCTGCAGCCGCCCCTCGCCCCGCCCATCGGCCTCCCCCGAGTGCTTGGAGGGGCCTCGTCGCCACGGAGGCCAGGCGGCGGCTCGTCGTCTCGGAATGCCTGGCCGGCAGGCGCGCCCGGGAGGGGCCAGGGGAGCGGCGGCATCCTTCTCCCGGGTGGGTCGAGGGAGGACAAGCGCCACAAACATATATTTTTATATATATATATGTATGTATAAAAAAATTATATATATATATATATATATATATATATATACATATATATATATATATGTATATATATATATATATATAAACTTTTGGCGCTCCGCGCGGGCTTCTTGGATCCGCGCCGGGCCCTCCCTGCGGCGCCTCCGGCGCCGCCCCGGGTGCGCTCCGCGCGCCAGGGAGGCGGGGCCCAGCGCAGATCCACGACATCTGCGCGGAGGGCCAGAGGTTTTGATGGTTGTGGCGTTTGTTCGTCTTCTAGTGGGGGCGGTCGTGGAGGAGAAGGCGCCCAGGAAGCCTCGGACCCTGGAGGATTCCTCGTCCGGTGAGGGCGGCTGTGATACCCGTGGTCGAGCCTCAGTTGCTTCTCCACCAGCTTTCGGACCCTGGACTCCGCAATCCAAGGGTCCGTTGCTGATGCATCCAGTGTCGGGGGAGCGTAAGACCCGGGTTTGCCGGGACTCGGGTTCGCCATCGTTTTTTGACGACCGCGACTCGGATTTTGACGAGGAGGAGTTTCGTGGGATGTCTGCAGCGGGAGGCCTCGTCAAAATGCAGGCTCGGCCTCGTCATTTTTTTGACGACCTCGTCGGGGATTTCCGAGTCCCCCGTAACCGGGTCTTACGTCTCCCCGACAGTGCCCTCAACGTGCGGCCGCAAACTTTTGGCGAGCGCGTCGCGCTGCCGCTTCTGGCACCCCGGCGCTTCGGCGCGACACGCTATCCACCCCCCGGTCCCCCAGCGTCCACGTCCGGAGCCTGGCCGAGCCTCCCGCCCCGCGGAGCGGAGTGGCACGCTATATCCCAGACCCCCGACGTCGTGATTTGTTCACCACGTCGACCGCCAGAGGTCTGGACCCCTTCCCTGGGACGGGTTTCCCCTGAGTCGTTTTTTGACGCTCCTGGGGCCCAGTCAGGGCCCCCAGAAGCCGAAAGTAAAACACTTCCGTCGGTTGTGTTTGGTTGTTTCTGCTTTCTTGCTCCTTTTTTTTTTTTTCACAGCGCCGAACATCTGGGATCCGCTCGGAGGGCATGGCGTGTCGCCGGGCCCCCGCCGCGACACGCTGAGCAAAGAATCCTCGCCGCGTCTGCTGGCCTCCCCAGGAGCGGGTCCCTGCGCGGGGGCTCGCGCGCCTCCTCGCGCCGCGCGCGCTCGGGCTCGCGGGCCGGGTCCGCGTCGGCGTCGCCGGCGCGCTCCGAGGTGTCCTGCAGCTCGGCGCGCTCCTGGCGCCCCAACATGAGCGCACCCTCCCTGCCGGCGCGCGGGGAGGCTCGGGGCTCAAGGGACGGGGGCCCTCAGTAGGGAAAAAACACACAGACACAATTCATCGTCGATTTTCTAGAAAAGATGGGAAAATATAGGAAGTGGGGGGAAGACAAGAACCCAGAAAATATAGGATAATATTGGGGATCGTGTTATTTGTGCCTATTTGTTTGTGTGTCCCAGGGCCCCATTAGGTTCATGCAAACGGGGGTCAGGCAGAGCGTCGGATTTTGCAGGATGCTGCAGAGCCAGGATCGCATTGGTCCGGGCTTGGGTGCAGGATCCTGCAGGATCTTGCAGTACCCTGCAAAACCTGACTTACCCGTGTCTGGACTGACCGGGGAGGGTCGGAGGAGGAGAGTGTACGGATGCCGTTGCCCTCGAAGAAGGAACATGCAGCACAACGTTAACTTTCGGAGCTCCTCGCGCAGTTCTTAGATCTGCGCTGGACCCCCCTGGCGGCGCCTGAGGCGCCGCACATGGCGCGCTCCGCGCGCCAGGGAGAGTAGCCCAGCACAGTTCCAAGAAATCCGCGCAGACCTCCCAAAGCTCATGTTTATGAAGTCTGCCGTAGCTACCCTTGCCTCGCTCTTGCCTTCTCAGAGTCGCCTCAAAGTCCTGGTCCGAACGCATACCGAGAGAGGCCCGGCGAGCAGCGGCATCGGTATATTCTTACTGGGAAAGCCTTGCGGCTGGTGCTGCCGACCCTGAGCGCTAGGAAGGCGCGGAGGAGGAAGGTTCTGAGGCAACCTTGAGGTTATCTTGGGCCGTCCCTGGAGAGGTCCGGGGAGCAGTGACATCGTTGTTTGGGCTTCCCATGAGGCAGTCATGTCGACTCCGAGGGGGCACCGCTGCTCGCGCCGCGGGCGCGCCACGCCCTCGCCGGCGCGCTCCGACGCCACAGCGTCGGACATGAGCCTCGCTGGCGGAACGGCGTCGGACATGAGCATGGCATCCAGGAGCGGTGCGATCGAAGTGTGTACGTCAGAGGAGAAAGGGGTGATGGTAATGATGCGTTCCAAGACTTCGATGTCCAGGACTTCCCCAGGATTTCCTGACGTGCCGCGAGGGCTGCAGAACGACGGCCGCTGGACTAGAGACTGTGGAATTCCTGGAGCGAATCACGAGCCAGTGGCATTATGACATCATTCTCTTCCCAGAGCGGAGAGAAGGGGGATGCAGATTGGAGGCAGCTCAAGTCCATCTCGAACAGGGTTCGTTGCCCGTACCGCCGCGGGAGTTGTCTGGCCGAGACAGAAGGCCGCCTGCCCAACAGCGGCCGCTGTCGGTTTGGGACAGCATGTGTCGGCGGGCCTCGTACCCGCCTTGCCGTGCTCACTTCGGGCATCCAAACAGGATGTCCCGGCTGTCGCAGCGCTCCCAGCGGCACCTCAGCAGCGAGGAGATCGAGCTCGCGCAGGCCGACGCCAAGCGGCGCGAGGTGCAGCGCCTCATGCGGCTGAACGAGAAGGCTCCAGGCTGCCGAAGTGGCGCCGGCGTGGGTAGGCTCGGTGGATCGCGCCGCGTCGCCGATGCGTCGCATCGGCGATGCGGCTCGACGGTGGACCCCGACTTTCTCCAAGCCGCCGCCGCAGATGCACCGCTGACGTCGCGGATGCGTCGCCGATGCAAGCGCGATGCGGCGGCGATGCGGCGCGCTGCGCCGGCCCCGCCTCCACCTCGACACGCTTCGTGGGCGGCCTCCGCAGGCCTACAAGGAGGCCATAAGGTGCCCCGACGTCCACCACAGGCACCACTCTCTGTCGGCCACGGTGCCGGAGGAGTTCGAGTTCAGCACCCGGCGGTCCTCACGGAGCAAGGGCGCCTTCCGCGGCTTCGCGGAGGAGTCCTCGGAGGCCCGTCCCGGGGCAGGGCCGCTCACGGTCCGATCCGAGCCGATGCCCAGGCTCTGATTCCGCTTCCGATCCGACGGGGCCCTCTCTGGGCCGAGCACGACCCGCGATCCCGCGCGAGCCAGGCCCCGATCCCGCCCCGCGGCGACGCCTTGCGCGACCCCGACCCAGGATTCCTCCGACGTCCGATGCAGGCCTGCGAGATCCGACCTGGCTCAGGCTGGCCCCTGGGAGCGGTCGCTCCGCGGCGGGGCGGCGGCGGCCGAGTGGCGGCCGCAGCTGACGGTGCCCGAGGCTCACACCACACGGAAGTCGGGCATGTCCTCCTACAGGAGGAAAATTGAAAAATTCTAGACGCTTCGCGTATCCCCACCAGCCTTAGCTCCAGTGAGCCTTGATGAGCCAGGCCTCTTTCGCCGCACCATCGTTCAACCGGGGTGCCGCAGTGAGTCTGAGTTAGTCGCTCGCGCTCGCACTCTCCCCCCTCTCTTTTTCCGTGGTCTAGGCCTGTCTGGTTGCACGCTCGTGGGCTTCGCTTGGTCATTGGCCATTCGGATCCGCGCATGCGGCTTTACAGTGCCCCGCCGCCCATTTTGGCCTCGCTTCCGAATGTGGTTCGGCTGGAGCTTGGCCCCGCAAGAGCGACTTCTCCCCCCCGATCCGCTGCCGGTCGCCGCGCCTTTGCTTCCCCATCTGCCGGGATGTCTGGGCCGGTCACCTGCCGTCGCTGTCCTGCGTCTCAATGAGGGGCATTTTGTCCCTGGCATGTGCATACGCCACTGCGGCCAATTTACATCGTACCGCGCCCCGGACGTTGTGCCCGCTCCCTCTCCGTCGCCTTGGAGCCGCGAACCAAAAAAATATCCCCACCAGCACATGTGTACATTGCGGCTGTTGGCTGCACCCCCCTTCCACTATGTGGTCAGATTCAGCCCTGGCTGCGTTCCAGCGCTCCATGAGCTGGTCGCGGCAGCTGTGGATCTCGGCGACATTCGTGGCCGTTGCCTGCGAAGTTGCAGTGTACCGGCTCTTGGGCCAGAGTGAGTCCCCTGTCATCGTTGCAGCCCCAGCCAGTCACTAGTTTCGGATAAGATTACCGTCACGCCGGCCCCCCCCAGAGCAGCGGTGTGGTTCGTAGAGTGAGTGCTTTGTAGTTTCCTGCCGTTCCTCTGCCTCTGTTTCCCCGCCGACCCCACGTACGGCTGTGGTGTCCGTGGACTTCGCGTTGAGTGGTTCAGCCTTCAACGACGTCGCTCCCGTTTTTCACTGCCTGCTGTCGGCTTGGGGAGCTGCTCGGAGTTTGGCGCCGCCAGGGCGACTTCCTCCGTTGCACTCGCACTGCTGGCCGCTTGTTCACTTCGGTGTGGCCAGCGCCTATGTGCGTCTGCCCTTCGAATGCGGAGCATTTTGCTCAGCGCATGTGCACCTCACGCATCGCGTGTAATTTGCCTTGGTCCGTAGTCCCGGACATCGCTGTTGCCGCCAGACCGTGGTCGCGCGGCCGCCGACCAAAAAAGTATCCCCACCGGCGTGTTCGCAAATTCGCATCGTGCCGTCTGCCCCGGACTTTGCCTCTCGCCGCCAGACCGTTGTCGCGCGGCCGCGACCGAAAAAGTATCCCCACCAGCCTCGCGCGTAGCCCGCCCGATTCTTGACGCTGCTGGCGCGCACGCCTGCGGCCGCGACGAAAAAGTATTTCCACCAGCCCATCCAGAAACGACGCCCAGGCGAGTAGAGGGCCGTCCTGAGGATTTTTCGGCGTCTTGGGTGCCTCGGGGGCACCTCTTTGGGCCGCTTGAGATCCTCTTGGGGGCCTCCTGGAAGCCTCTTGGGGGCCTATTGGGGCAATATTGGGGCACTCTTGGGGCCTCCTGGGCGCTTCTTGGGGCCATCTTGGAGGAGATCGATCACAGGAAGGGGGAACACTAATTAGCGTCCCCCTTTTCAGGAGGCCCAAATGTGGCCATAACCGTTGTGAAATCAATAATTTTGGTTTCCTCGCCGAGGCCGTTTTGGACGCCCTGACACCTCCCCGCCCCCCCCCGTCCAGGTCCAGGCGAGGGGGTAGGGGGAGGGGGGTAACCCCTTCCCGAAGGGGAAGAAGGAGGGGTGGAAGAGGAAACTCCCTAAACCACCGACGCCCGGAGGGCGGGTGGGACTGTCCAAAAATAGCCCTGGAACGATGTTGCGACCATTTCGATCCATATATTGTTATTATTTTTGGTGTTTGTTGCTTACACGCTACTTTTCACTATTCTTCCACAGTCCGCCTGTAGGGGGACATGCCCGACCTAACACTACACACCCATACCGATCCTGGCCAGGCCCAGAGCCCAGTATCGGCCCCAACCAGCAGGAGGACCCCCTCCTGACTCCTCGTGCTGATGGTGGCCGGTCCTTGCCCCCACAGGGGCCCGGGGCTCCTGGCCCCGACGTCGCGATTTCCCTATATATGAGGCGTTCCAAAAAGAGCATTGCCTTAGAGGATCGAAGGAGTTATCATCTCCGTCTCGGCGGAAGGCGGCGGAAGGGCGGCAAAAGTAAAACGCTGCTGCCGCCGCCAGCGGCAGCTGGCGGAAGCCGGCGGGAGGCTGGCGGAAGGCGGCGGAGACAAAAAAAAAGTTGCCTTCCAAGAGGTGGCAACATTTTTGGGTCCAGGGTTTTCGGAATCCGCCACGTGGACCCCCTGACATCTTTTCCCGAGCGTACAACCCTGCACGGGGGGAAATAGCTGTCGAGCCCCGCCCGGAGAAAACAATTGTCGGGAATCAGAGGCCCGGCCGGCCTCTGGCCAAGCAGGCGCCGGAGCCCGTGGAGCCCCTGACATCTCGACCCACTCCCCTGGACCGGCTTCTCGTCCTCGAGACCGCTCGGGAGTTGAAGTCGGCCACGCGCAGAGGGGGGTGGGGGGAGGGGGGATGGCTTCTTAGAAGCACCCCTGCTTCTTAGAGATGCAAGGCCGGCGCCTTCTTTAAGAGGCAGCAACTTTCTAAGAAGCCAGAAGCCCTCCGCCCTCCCTCCACCCCCCTTGTGCGCGCCGCCAATGAAGACAAGAGAAAGCTTGCCGTCCTGACTTCTTTTGGTGCGCCCCTCTCGACTCCTGGTGGCTTCTGGTCACAGCTCGGGCCCCTGGCAGCCGTTCGGGGCAATCCTGGCACCCAAGCCAAGGAAAGCCTGTCGACGAGGCGCGGCTGCTGGAGAGCATCCGGGGGCGAGGAAACCGCAAAGACTCGACGATGGATTCATTCCTAGCCGGCCGCAGTTGCGGAGAAGAGTTGGGGGGTGAGGGACCGCGACCCACCCGCGGCCCACACCTGCCGCGACCCATCCCCGCGACCCCCCCGCGCCGACGACGACGACAACAAGTGACAACAGCAAGAGCAACAGCACCAATCAGTTTAAGGTCGATCGATGTTCGTCGCTTGTGAGCCATCTGCACCAAGCCATCGATACCCGCCCTCTTCGTTTTCGATCGCTGCCTCTCTGGGGGATGTACCGTCTTCACCTGGCGGGTGTAGTTGGCGCGGCCCCTATAAAATTGAACGAGGAGGGAGAGAGAGGAAAATGGAAGACGGTGAGGAAGGGAGGGGACCGAGCGGGGAGGGGGGCAAGAGGGAGATGTACCAGTTTGAAACATTTCCCTATCCCTATGTTTGACATCACCTCGCCTCGATGCCGATCTTAAGGATTCCCTCAGTTTCTGAGGGCCTATCCCTAAGATTGTCCTCGCTTTTTGCTCGCCCATCTTAGGGATAGGGATACGTTCGAGGCTGGTTAGAGATAGGACTACTGAGGACGAATACGATCTGGCAGGAGAAGGACGAACGAGAAGCAGGACGAGTGGCAGGCGGACCTTGACGGGCGGGTGGGGCGGGCGGACCCCCACGGGCGAGAGCACGATTCCTAGGCAAGTCGAGGAAGTCTCCGTGCGGGGGCGCGATGCTTAGACTGCGAGGGCGCGGTGTCTGACGAGGGCGCGGCGTCTGAACACACTGCAAGGGAGTCCTGAGCGAAAACGCGACGCCAGAGTAAAACATGAGGAATTCTCGCGCGAGAGCGCGATGCTGAAGCAATCGCGAGGAAGTTTCAGTCCAGAGCCGCTCTTAGTGCGATCCGAAAGCCGACAGCGCAGTTGAGCCGCTAGACATTCCCGGATAAAACGTTCCAGCCAGCGCCCACCCAAGACATTGCGGCCCGCAGACCCAGGCGACGGGCGACGGCGGCCACAAAGCGGCCAGAGCGGCCCGCAGGCCAAGTTTCTTTAAAGACAAGTAAGAACCCCCAAGGACCAGCACCGTCCCCGAGGGGGCACTTACATTGAAACAAGAATGTTAGCCAGCGTGGACCCAAAACAGTGCGCTATTGCACTGTGGATGTGAGAGCTATGCGCTGTAATCTCTGTCGTGGAAGTTACGTTGTGCAAGCTTGGTGGTGTGAGGTAATGAGGTGAAATCTATGCGGGGCAAGCTATGCGGTGTAAGCTATGTCGTGTAACCTATGCGGTGCAAGCTATGTGGTGTGAGCTATGTGGTGAAATCTATGTCGTGCAATCTCAAAGTGCACTGGAGGTGGAAGCCATGGGGCGCAAGCCATGTGATGTAAGCTGTGCTTTGTGATCTATGCGGTGCAGGCCACGAGGTGCAAGCTGTGTGGTGTAACCTATGTGGTGGAAGCCATGTCTTGTAAGCTCAGAGTACAGTGCTTCCACGAGGCGGCACGAGCGGCGACGTGGTGCAGCCTCGGGACACCCACCCAGCGCACGGGGCGCCCACGAGGCGCCCAGGCACTGGACGAGAGGGATCGACCCCTCCTGGGCCGCAAACTTACAAAAACCTATGGGAAATCAATGATTTGGGCCCCTCGGGCCTCTTGGGGGTCCACAGCGACGTCGAGATGGCTCAAGCACGAACGCCCACGAGAGTGGAGGGATCAAGAAGTTTTTGTCCGAAACGGTGCTTGCAGTTGGGGGTTTCTGCTTGGTTTCTTAAAGAGCTGAATGGGTCCGGCGAGGTTTCGCCATGCTGCTTCCCGTGGCCGCCTGGTGGCCGCCTCGTGCGGTGGGTGGGTCCGGCGAGGCTTCGCCACGTTACCACCCGTGCCCGTCTCGCGGCCGTCTCTAGCTTGCAACACGAATGCTGCACCGCATGGCTTACACCACATAGCTTGCACCGCATAGGTTGCACCGCATAGCCTTCACAGCCATGGCGCACATCACACAGCTGCCACGACATAACTTTCACCTAGCAGCTTACAGCGCACGGCTTACACCTCCACAGTGCAATAGGGCACTGCTTGAGGACCACGCTGGCGAGCGTTCTGCACAACGAGAATTCAACGACAAAACACACCGGCGACCCCCACTGCATCCATGCACCTAGGGACTGCGTGCGTAAGACCGTTCGGCCCCACCATGCTGATACGGTTCTGATTTTTCGCTGAGCCTGTCGCTCCGCCGGCTGTTGCCCACCACGCTGCGGCGCGACACGCTGACCACTCCCTGGCCCCGAAGCGCCCACGTTTCGAACTGTTCCGAGCTTCCCGCCCCGCGGAGCAGAGCAACACGCTGTTCGCGTGCAAGGCGCAGCGTGTCGCTGGGGCTGCCACCGCGACACGCTAAGCAACAGTGCTTGACCGTGGGTGGCTCTAGGCACGTCTGACGCCTTTGGCGGACATCTTGGGAGCCTCTCTGGGCCGTATCGGCGCCCTCTTGGACCGTTGTAGGGCCGTCTTGGGGCCCTTTGATACCAACCGTATCGCCGCCCTTTGGGCGATCCTGGGCGATCTCGCGGTCCTCTTGTACGATCTTCGAAGGCTCTTGGGCGATCTTGGGCGATCTCGGGGTCCCCTTGGGCGATCTCCTCGGGCCCTCTTGGGCGATCCTGGGAGGCTATTGGGCGACCTTGGGCCTGTTTTGGCGATCTTGGACGTCTCCTGGCCGATCTTGGGGTCTTTTTTTGGCCGACCGCACCGTCGCCCTGCCAGGGCCCAGAGCTGCACACCGCGGGCCGCTCCCGCAGCCTGTCGTCCGTGCGCTCCGAGCGGGGTGCGGCGGGCCGCTCGCTGTCGCGCGGGCGCACGCCGCGCGAGGACGGGGCGCTGCGGGAGCACCTGCGGCGCGCGGAGGCGGCGCAGGACGGGGCTCGTCCTCTTCCCTCGCTCGCCCTCGCTCCTCGCTCGCTCGCTCGCTCGCTCCTCCTCCCCCGCGTCCACTTCCTCCTCCTCCTCCTCCTCCTCCTCCTCCTCCAAAGTCCGGCACGCAGCTTCCCCTCCTCAGACCAACTCCGCACACATTGACTTACTTCGAGCAGCTCAGGCTGCCATCAGCATGTGGATGAGATCGGCACCTGCTGCGCCTCATGCTACTTGCGCTCCCCCTCCCCCTCACTCGCTCATCCTCCGTCGCTCGCTCGCTCCTCCTCCGCTCCCTCGCTCCACCCCCTCCTCATCGTCCTCCTCGTTCCCTCCTCCTCCTCCTCCTCTTCCTCCTCCTTCGTTCCTCCTCCCCGTCCTCGGCCGTCCTCCGGCCTCCTCCCTCCCTCCCCCGTCCTCCCTTCCTGGACTTCCCCGCGCGTGGATGCGCCTCCTCCTGCCCCATTCCGCCTACTTCCCTCCTTCTGTTTCGGCTCCTCCAGCGCGCGGAAGCGGCTCCTCCTCCTCCTCCTCCTCCTCCTCCTCCTCCTCCTCCTCCTCCTCCTCCTCCTCCTCCTCCTCCTCCTCCTCCTCCTCCTCCTCCTCCTCCTCCTCCTCCTCCTCCCTCCCTCCTCCTCCTCCTCCTCCCCCCTCCTCCTTCTCCTCCTCCTCCTCCTCCTCCTCCTCCTCCTCCTCCTCCTCCTCCTCCTCCTCCTCCTCCTCCTCCTCCTCGTGCTTTTCCTCGTCGTCCTCCTCCTCGTCCTCCTCCTCGTCCTCCTCCCTCCATCCCCCCTCCCTCCCTTCCCCCACTCCTCATCATCCCCTTCTCCTCCCGCCCAGCCTCCCTCCTTCCGCCTGCCCCTCTTCCTTCCCCTCATCCTGCATTCCCCCTCCTCCCTTCGTCTATTGCTTCTGGCCGCCTGCCCTTCTACATTCTTGGGCAGTGGCGCTCCTCTTCCTCATCCTCCCCTCCTCCCCCTTCCCGAGGAAGCCCACATGTGTGTGTATGTGTGTGTGTGTGTTTGCGTGCGTGCGTGCGTGCGTGCGTACGTTTGTGTGTGTGCCTGTCCGCGTGTCAGTCTGTCAGTCAGACCAGTCAGTCAGTCAGTCAGTCTGCCTGTCTGTCTGTCCGTCTGTCTGTCTGTCTGTCAGTCTCTGTCTGTCTATCTGACTGCGTGTCAGTCAGTCTGTCTGCCCCCTTCCCCTCCAGGGGGTCGAAGAAGAACAATCGGCACGAAAACGTGCGGAGGTCTACGCAGATTTCTCTGATCGGCGCTGGTCCCCCCCCCCCCTTGGCGGCGTCTCTGGCGCAGTTCGGGTCGGACGAAAAGGAGGGATAGGGAAAGGTTGGGCCACGGAAGCTACAACATGCTGCTGGTTTGGGCCCCGCCGCCGAGCGCTTTCTTCGATACACTCGCGCTTTCGCCGTTAGGACGCGCAGCTACGTGAGCTGGTTCCCTAACCCCTACTATCCCCACCTTGTTTTTCCCTCCCCTTCGTCCGCGGTCCAGCGCCGATCCAGGACATCCTGGCGGACCTCCAACATTGTGCGTTTATGCCGCTATCTCTTCCTCGAAGGGTGGGGAGGGCCCAGTGCGACGCGCAGGGGTTGGCGCACAGGGACCCGTACGAGTATGACTTTTTTTCCGCCATCGGAGAGGCCCGTCCCAGGCCGGCTGGAAACTTCGCAACTCGACTTCCTCCTCCTCCTCCTCCTCCTCCTCCTCCTCCTCCTCTTCCTCCTCCTCCTCCTCCTCCTATTCCTCCTCTTTCCATTCCTCCTCCTCCTCCTCCGCCTGCTCCTGCTCCTCCTCCTCCTCCTCCTCCTCCTCCTCCTCCTGCTCCTCCTATTCCTCCTCTTTCCACTCCTCCTCCTCCTCCGCCTGCTCCTGCTCCTGCTCCTCCTCCTCCTCCTCCTCCTCCTCGTCCTCCCGCCGCCCTGGGACAGGCGGCTTTCCCAGCGGCCGAAATGCCAAAGGAGAAAGCTGCAGCCGTGCGGCCGGCGCCAGGTCCAGAGCCCCCGCGCGGTCCCGCCGAGTCGCGCGCGGAGCGCGCAAGGGCAACGGCTGTGGCGCAGCAGGACGCGATCGCCTCTGCACGCCAGCGCCTGTGCGTCTTCTGAGGGGAGGTGCGGAGAGCCTGCCGGGCAGCATGAGTGTGCTTGAGCCCGCGCACGGGTTGCCGATTGGAGCGTGGACGCGCGCCCGTCTGCAGAGAATTCGACGTGCACGGAGTGTTTACCGAATTCGTGAATTCGCAGCTCAGCCCGTGGGCGACAATCAGGTGGTGCCGTCTGCTCCTCGTACGCCCGGCCCTTCTCATCATCATCATCGCCATCGCCATTGTCATACAAATAATAGCAACAGTAATACTCATAGTACAAATAATAGTTCTCTTAGTGCTGATAGTACTAGAGATGACAATACTACAGATCAATCATCATCAGCAGCATCATCATGGTCATCAGCAGCAGCAGCATCATCATCATTATCATCATAATCATCGTCATCATCATCATCACCATCATCATCATTATCACCATCATCATCGTCGCCATCATCCTCATCATCGATAACATCAGTATCATCATCATCATCACCATCAGTACCATCATCACCATGATCAGCATCATCATTACCACCATCATCAGCATCATCACCATCATCATTATTATCGTCATCATGTTCATCGCAATCGTCGGTTTCATCATCACCATCATCACCATCGCCACCACCATATTGATTACTCATCACCACTGCCATCAGTAACATCACAATCATCTTCTTCAATTTCGTCGTCATCACCACCACCACCACCATCACCATCATCATCATGACCATCACTAACAGCACCACCATCAGCATCGTCAGCATCATCATCATCATCATCGTCATCATCATCACCATCAACAATTGCAGCACCAACAACTACATCATCGTCCTCGGCTTCGCGCCGTGCTGAGTGGCCCTGAGCTGCCACCACTCCTGCTGACGCCCCCACTGTCACCGACATCATCGTTGTCATCATCATTCTCCCTCGGTCTCCGGTCGGACGCCTGCACCGAGGCGGCTGCACGTGTTTTTTAGATATGCCCTGGACGCCTAATTACCATGCATCGCAGTGCCGCCTGGCAACTCCCAGCGCTCCTTCTCCCGACCCGAGCTTGCTTCCGCTGGCGCACCAGTGGCGTGGTCTGGGGTTGCGCACAGAACCCCCCAGCCACCCAGTAGTCCAGGCGGGCCTGGACTGGCCCCCCGAAGGGGCTCCGCGGTGGTCTCAAGACCGCCACCCCCGTGGCGCTGCCGGTGGCGGCGATGGGGTGTCGAGGCCTCCCTGCGGTGTCCTGGGGGCCAGTCGAGGCCAGCGCGGGCTTCCCCCGGGGAGGGGTCGCTGCGCAGCGCCAGCCCTCGCCACAGCATCTGGCGCGCAGATCTCGGCCCGCCCTCCCGACGCGCAGAGCACAAGGGAGCCCGCCAGGGCGTCGCGCCAACTCCGATGTGATACGATTGTTTTTGGCATCGAGATTTCGCTGGCGCGCACTTGCCACAACAAAAGCATCCGCGTGACTCTTGTGCGCGAAGGGCTGGGCAGGCCCCGAGGAGGCACATCCACGCGATCCTCCGTCTCTCCCGCTCCTTCTCTCATTGCCTCCCGGACTTCCCTTCGTTTTCTTACCCTGTTCCGGCTCCGCTTTGCGGTAGGTTCGTGTCGTGTCGACGCGGCGGCGTTCCCAACGCGGACGTTTCGGGTTCAACGCCGCCAGGGGCAGGAGTTGGCCGATGGCGAGCGATCCGCGCCATTGGAACGCCGCGATCTGTCAAGGTTCAACAGTCCACGCAGTGGCGACGCAGTGTCAAGAACCAGCGCGCAAATTGTCGCCGCACGACTTTGCCGCACAGTCAAGACTCCGAAATGAGGACAATTCTGGGCTGCTCAGACAATTGTTCGGTGACCACCCCCCCAGGCCCCCAGGCAAAGACGACGACGACGACGATGACGAGGACGACGATGCCACAGACAAAGACAACTACTAAGACTAAGACTAAGACAACGACGGACGCCGATCGCGACGACGACGATGTCGACGCCCACGCTGACGACAACGACAACGACGCCGACGACGACGAGGACAACGACGACGACGATTAAAAAACGACGAAGACGACGACGACGCCTACGCCTACGCCGATGCCGCCGACGACGACGAGGACAACGACAACGCAGACGACGACGCCGACGAGGATGCCGACGACGACGACGACGCCGACGAGGATGCCGACGACGACGACGGCGAGGACAACGACGACGAAGACGATCGAGCCCCCGTGGGATGCGATTACATATGGAGCCATCGTAGAATTCTGTCAGGGCTGGAGCCAGCCGTGTGGGGTCCATTAAAGGGGTCCATTGAAGTGAGATTGAGCTCTTGGAGGGTGCTTTTACAGCTGGATCCAACTCTAGAAAGATGATGCGTTGATCATCATCAGAATTGGGTCCAGCCCTGATGCGATTGCATTAAAGCTGGTCCCAACCGCAGCAGGGGTTCTGTTAGAGGTGGACCGAGTCGCAGAAGGATTCTATTAGAGCTGGATCCAGCCCTAGTAGGGATCCATTAAAGCTGGATCGAGCCCTCGTCGGATTCCATCGGATCTGGGCCGAGCCGTGGCAGGTTTCTGAGAGAGCTCGGTCGACCCCTAGAAGGATGTTATTAGAGCCGGATGGAGCCCTGGCAGAATCGTGTTGGAGCTGTTTCGAGCCCTCGTGGGGCTCGAGTGAAGCTGGATCAAGCCCGATCAGAATTCGTTGAGAGCTAGATCCGATGCTTGTGAGATTCTAGTAGAGCTGGATCGACCCCTACTGGGCTCAAGTATAGCAGGATCCAGGTGGAGCTCGATCAATCCGCAACAGGATCCGACCAGAGCTGAATCTAGACCTGATAGGAACGCATTAAACTTGGACTTGGCTCTAATCGGATTCCATCAAAGCCAGATCCAGTAGAGCTGGATCTAGGCTGTGCAGGACTCCACTAAAAGTTGGTTTTAGCATTTTGTACGAGTAATCTTAAGCTGGATCGAGCCCTAATTTGATTTTTTGAGCATTACAGCAGGATCCAGCCCGAGTATCAGGCTTGGACTGTATCAGAGCCGGATCGATCCTTGATAGGATTCGATTAGTCTTGGATCCAACCCTGTAAGAATTGCACCAAAGCTGGATCCAGCCCCAGTAGGATTCCCAATGAGGTTTGGCGAACTCGCATAGGATTCGATTGGACATGGACCGAAGCTTTGTAGCATTCTGTCTAAGCCAGCGCCTGGCGCGGGCGCCGGCGACAAGTGCGCTGCCCCCGCCTCTGACGCTATCGTTGTCGTCGGCGTCGTCGTAGGCGTCGTCGTCTTCGTCGTCGCCGTGGTCCGCGTCGTCGTCGTCGTTGCCTCAGAGGGGGGTCCGGATGGGGCCAGGGGGGCGGGATGGGGACCCATGGAGGCCCCCCCTGGAGCCTCCCTCCTCTCAGAACCTTCCGCGTTCAAAGCTTCCCACCTTCTCCCGGGCCTGCTTCCTCATCCTCCGTGGACACGCCTCTCCTCCCAAATTTGCCCCCGCCCCCCCTGTCGGCAGCGGCGGCGTCGGCGGCGACGGCGGCGGCGGCGTCAGCGACGGCGGCGTCGACGCGCGCGCCCGTCCCAGACATCCGACGTCTCGAGTTTCTTAATGCGGGGCCCCCAGAAGTGTGGACCTCGTCCTCAGGGACGGCCCTTCATCCCGAGCCGCTTTTCGACAGTCCATGGGGCCGGGAGTGGGCCCCCCCTGGAGGCCAAACGCGACCGGCGAAATCCGCGCTGATCGGCGCATTCCCGGGGGGGAAGTGAGAGGGGCCGGCCTTCTCACAAGGTTGCGGGGCTTCTCAGAAACCCGCCAGCGTTCTGAGAGGCCGTCCTTGTCTACGCAGGAAGACCCAGACAACATTCTGAGAAGGCCCGAGGCCTTCCGGGCCCTCTGAGTCTTAGGCCCGCCCCCTTTGTTCTGACTTCCCCCTGTGGGCTCGCCCCCGAGCCCAGACCCCTGACGTCATGATTTTTGTTATTACGTCGAGCGCCGTAGGTCTGGACCTTTTCCCTGGAACCTGGGAGCCGAGCTTTCTCGACACGCTGATCAAGGTCTGCGGCGCCCCCCCCCGCGCTGCCGGTTGGATCCCCCCGCCCGCGCCGTGACCCATGGGAGGAGTCTCGCCGCTGCCCGCGCGGCGCGGCTGCTGCGGGGGGGTGCTGGGCCCATCAGGCGCGGGGCCCGGGAGCCCTGGGCTCTGGCATCGCGAGAGACGAGGAGGAGGAGGAGGAGGAGGAGGAGGAGGAGGAGGAGGAGGAGGGGGGGGGGGGGGGGCGTAGCTTTGCAACGCACTAGTGGTGAATGTCATTTTGTGCTCGACTGCCAGAGTGTGATTGATGGGATTCGTCATGGACCCCAATGGAGCACGAGGCTAATTCGGCTGCGTGGCTCAATTTCTGGGAGGCCTATGAAGGCCATCCAGGGCCGTGCCTATTTAAAAAGGTAAAGTCCCACCTCGAAGAAGGGGATGTGGGGGTCCACATTACCCGGGAAGATTTTACCGCCAACCAGGCTGCGGATGAGTGTGCAAGTGAAGGGGCGCGCATGGCCAGGCTCCCACAGCATATCATCCAGCAGGTAATCGACATAGATAATAAAGCTGTCCGCGTGCAGAGGCGCCTGACAGAAGTCGCTCTGCAAGTGGCTATCCAGACCCCATCCCTATACTCGGCCACCTCTAGAGCTGATCGTGTGGCCCGCAGTCGAGCGTCCAGGGCCCAGCGTCAATCGAACGTTGAGCAAGCACTGCAGGAGACCACACACAGCGTGATCGAGAAGGGGGGGTATAAATTGTGTATTGTCTGCCGCGGGCGCCCTACCAAAGAGTGTGGGACGCTGGAGTGGCTTGCCTTGCTTTGCCCAGGTCGGCCGCACCAGATCCATCAGAGCCACGATGTGTCTTGTACTCGTGAACTCTGGTGGTGTCGCAAGTGTGGGGCTTACAGCAGTGCGAAGATAAGCGCAGGGTTGCAAGGCACCTGCCACCGCCCAACAGACTGGGGCAAGAAGGTGCTGTCC